AAAAAGCTGGAAATTTTCTCTCGACGCTTGCGCGATTCTAATTAGTGCTTTCGATTTTTCAGACACGACTTTGTCGACCTTGTCTCCCTCCGCTTTGTCGTTTGATTTCCTTCAGACGGCGGATACATATTTCGAGTAAAAGCACTCTACCGCACACTCTATGTACACGTACATATTATGCGTGGGATACTGTAGCGCGAATGAAATAACGAGTCGTTACAGCACTGACACATTTACACAAAGATACATTTGTACTCCTAATATGATTCGTGATTCGTGAAAAATTGCCCCCCACAATGTGTACACTTGTTGTATATAGGTTGTGCTCTCGTCATTAACAAATACACCGCACATACATTTTCAGCGTATTTCTACACGCGATCCGACACGCGAGTTAAAAAACGCAAGAGGGAGATTCCGGACGGCGAAAGAAAAATCGAAAGTTCTCTCATTTAATACATGCTCTAATCGGCAATAATATATTGTGCACGCGTACCGAGTATCTACTAACAACTGGACAGATTAACGTGCAATTAATTACAACCAGATCCAGAAATTTCTATCTTTTTCAGGATATGGCATGTACTTTTTCTTTTTCCCGTTAATTCGATCCCCAATCCCCCGAAGCACCCTGACTTTAGCTTTTAAGTGAGCCATCTCTCCGCCATATATGTATACTTTTTTTCGCGACACATTTCGCGGGACATTGCATCAATTAACGACTGCTAATTTATCACACGGACACACCGTCGCACGCAACCTATACGTCGCAGGATCGTGAAATGTCGCACATAATTCTCACACATCGGACGACGACGACGATTGTAGTACACGCCTGAACTTTAGTACCTCTGTCTGTAACGATTAACGAAGCACGTCGTTCGTCTAATCTTTTCGGCCAAATTTCGCTCGAATTAGAAAATCACGCTACGTGATTAGAAACTGATATTTCCGGCGGCACGGAGGCAAATTTTTAAATTTTAAACTGACAGCTTTACAACTGACTGACAGTTGTCACTAGAAACGAGCTTGATCGGTAGTAGCGATCGCGCACAATTAATATTCACAAAGCGCAAAGAGAAAGCGTTAGGTAAGTCACGGTGTCAATGATCAGTCACGTCCCACCCGTAATACCACCGGGCGCGGTGCCACCGTCGCGCGCCGTTCCTGCTTTCTACTTTTTCTCTTTTTTCCGGAAAAATCCGACAATTCCGATTACCGAGCCGAGTTTTCCGTTTCTTCTTTTTCTTTCTTTTTTTCCTTTCTTTCTCTTGTGACACACAAACTGCCGCCAGCTTTTTTCCGTCAGCGACTTTTTCAGGCAGCTTTTTTCCACCAGGTTAGTACCAGCCTTTTTTTCAACTTTTCTCACGTGACGTCGTGGTGCTCTACTTTACTCGTCTTTCTTTTTTATGATAACGCTGACTTTTTTTCCACGCGCGCGGACTCGCGCGCGTGGCAGCGCGAGCTCGCTAGCTTTTCTTAGTAAAGCCCTATACGGAGAGAAGGGTGTGATACACTTTTTGTAGTAGAAACGCACGGCTTACAAGGATATGAGAAACGAGGGACAGGACCCTGTAGCAGCGCTTGGATGATGGACTGTAACGCGCTTCCCGTAAACGGAGCGAATTGTAACTTGTATAATAACATTGAGCGAAAACTCACTTGTGCAACTCACGACGGTCTATGGTCTAGTTTCGGTGTCACGCGAAATCGAGTTGCGACGCAAAGGAATACCGCTTGCGCAGGAATACATGTCGCTCGCACATATCATCTAATCGCGTAGAAATACAAAATAACTTGTGGAGAAATTCTTTGCCAAATAACTCTCCCCACGCCCACGACATGTTGGAGTTTCATCTTAACGTCGCACGCTCGACGCGTGCTGCGATCTTGTGCATGATTTGTGTGTGTGTGCGTGTGTGTGTGCGTGTGTATGCACGTTCTGTATACGTGAAACGATTGTTATCGCGAAATATAAATGTGTAAACGATGATTACGAGTGCGAGTAAGAATGCCTATACGCTAAAATATTAATAAAAAAAAAAAAAAAAAAAAAAAGAAAAGAAAAAAGAGAAAATGGAGCGCATGCAAAGTTCAATTCGGCATATTTTGGGCCACATTGTGAAGGAACGATTCGGCCATTCTGGCCATTCTGACTATAAGACTATTTTAATTGGTTTTTGATAATAACTAATTGGACGTGTTTTGTGGTAGTAATAATTAATTGGATCTAATAATTAAATTGAATTAAATCTGAGAATTAATTAGACGTGTGTTGTAAAGTCGGCAATCTCTCGACAATAACTTGTCGAAAGAATCGAACGATCGCGCAGAAAATTCACGTTAATTTGGTATAATCATTGTGCCATTACGCCAATTTACCGTTTCTTCTGAAATTAAAAGAGAACGTTGCCGTTACCGTGGTCGTTATCGTTATCGTTAACGATGTGTGTCGCAATTTAATTTCTAATTTGAAATCAGCAGCAAAAGCAAATCTCAAAGATATCGCTCAGATGAATCCATCATTTTCAATGTGACAAGCGGCATGTGTTGGCAGCGCATAAAGGATTTAGCGTGTAACGCTACTGCTTCAAAAGCAGCACTTTTTTGTTTCTCCGATGACGGAAAAATTATCCATCATTTTCAAAAGTACATTCTCAAAATCGTACAAATCGCGACTCGAACAATGTCCTCTCTCTGTCCTCCGTGCGTTTTGCACAGCATTCATCGAGTACAGACAAGGTAGACAACGACGAAAGCACTCCCCGCGATTCAACAGATCGATTTAGCGACTTAGCGATATAACAGATATGTTATTTTATATAAATGTTGCACGTAACATTCGCATGCTATAAGCCAAGATCGCAGTTTGCCGGATTTTCGACGTTGTCGTAAATATATCTCTCAATTACGTGTTGACGCTATAATATATTTCTGGACACACCGTGTCCAGAATTAATACACGTGAATTAATACACGTTAGCTAAACGTGGAAGTTAACTCGCCGCACCCACGAGCCGGTCAAACAAGAAGGAATGAAAAATTTTCACTCTGAGTTCAGCGATTCAGCGATCCGCGCTGATCGAGAGGATCGGTCTCGCGCGAGAGGAGTGTTTGCGACGAGTGGTCGAAATTTGTCGACCATGGCGTACCACGGTGGGACAAAATTTTTAAATCGTCGTATCTCTTCTTTCATTTCCGCACACGGCAAAATTGCGCGATACAGCGAAACCATTCGACGCTGAGAAGGCCTGGACCGACCATCTGAACCGTTTGGCGGACATCGACAGGCTCTATCCGAGCAGATCGCCGCTTCTGGCTCGCCACTTAAGCCCGCCGCTCAGTACGAAACGATTGTTCGACATTCACGGTAAGAGAGAGAGAGAGAGAGAGAGAGGGGGGGAGGGGGGAGGGGGGGAATGTTCTTTCGACTTTCTATCAATCCATCCAAGCACATTTATCTACAACGGTCGACTCGTCGCGTGTAAAATTTCCAACACGTTATCGAACATATATAACATTTAGACTTTGCCTCGTCGCGTAACGCGTTTAGATACACAAATGAACCTTGAAATTGCGGTGACGCAAAAAGCCCCTTTGGTGTTTTGTATAAAGATAGCATCTCCGCTAAACAATGCTAATAATATTTCGCTGTAGCGCGCGTTGAGGCCCAAGGCCAGAGGTTTCGGCCGGCGTGCATAGCCGGCGCGCGGGGCCACTTACGCAATTAGTATATATTTATAAACAATACTCACCTCTCCCTCGGCATTCGGCTAGCCCGCCGCCGCCGCCGCCGCCGCCGTCGCCGCGACCGCGACCGCGACACGCGAGAGCGAGTCCGTCAGTCCGTGTGATCGATTCGAATCATAAACACACATTTCGCGCAGGTAATCTCGTGGACGACGACTTCTTGTTGCCGCGTCCATCCATCTTGCTCCGCAAGAAGCCATTTTTCGATCTCCTGGAGCCTTCACCGATGGCGCCCATCAGCGCGTTCACCAGGGACCCGTGGTGGTACCCGAGCTACGCGCCTTACATACCGAGCTACGCTCAGTACCGCACACCGTTTTACCTGAGGGACAGCTACCTCAGTCCGATTAAGCGTAGCTATCTGTGGAGCCGACATCCCATCAGGCCCTTCGGTACGTGTGTGTGTGTGTATGTGTGTGTGCGTGGTGTATGTGTGATTCTTCTCGAGCAAGGGTTTGGGGGTTTTATCCTCGCGATGCCTCGCGGTCGCAGCGATCGATGCCGATAAAACGCGGCGATTCTACGAGGAGGAGGAGGAGGAGGAGGAGGAGGAGGTAACCCCGTTCTGATTCTGAGCTGTGATGACAAGCTCAAAGTCGTGCGCGATCGATCCGACCCTTCGGCCCGGCGCCAACGACGACTCGTCGAGTCTCGAGACGCGCGCAGGAGAGAACGTGCTTTTGTGCTTTTTCGCATCTCTCCACGTTGGACTGTTGGACGAGAACGCGCGCGCGTTCAACAGGAAAGAAACGTCGTGACGGTAGCGCCGGTTGAATTGAAGCGCCGAGCGACCCGACCCCAATCGGAACCCGAGAATACCGAGACACTGTCGCGTCGCGCGACGTCGATACGCTTTCTCTCGTTTACTCGATATCGATCGGTCGATTCACTGTCGTCTGTCTGTTTTCCTTAAACCTCAAATCGATGGTATCGATCGCTGCTGACAGGTGCTGACTGACTGACTACAGGTGCAATCTGACGCGACGCGCGTCGAACGTCAAATCTTTCTGAAATTCTGAATAGCGAATACTCGGAATAGGTGTGAACTGTGTCCGCGAGACGCGAACGAAATTTGTCGAATTTGTCGACGACGGAAAACCTGTAGCCAGCATATCGCGATGGTACTTGCGACTACTGTCACTCTTTCAACCGTCTTGAAAAAGTCCTCGTAATCGCAAATGCAAAAATGTCAAAAATCTAGACTACTATAAATATCGCGGAAATGGCACGCGCTCGATTTCGCGAGAGAGAGAGAGAGATATATATATATATATATACATATATATATATAAAAATAACTGCTACGTTTGCTACGTAATTCAGAGATGTGCGAAATTCTCGCAGAATCTCTGCGGAAAGTTGGCTTCGCGCTCGTTGAGAGAGAGTCAATCGGCGAGATATAGTAGTCTGGAACGTAATGTATTTTCTCTTTCTTTCAGCACGCACTTAACGCACATTATTAAATTACAGTTTGCATACAGACTGGGTTTTGCGAGAAACATATTTTTCACTCATTTTACGCGAGATGAATACGTAAATACCTTTGAATGTCATACAGCCGTCTATCTTTTTTCTCCCAGTAGAATAGCGCGGTGGTGGTAATTTTCGTAATTTTTCGGTCCACCTCCCTCGGTCCCTCCGCCACAAAGTTATCTAGAGAAACGTCTCAATTGGCGAAAATATATCTTTTACCTCTTTATCCATTTACGTCAAAGGAGTCACCGTCGTCTCTTCTCCCTTTGTTCTTTCTTTTCTTTTCTTTTTTTTTTTCTTTTTCTTTTACCGACGCGAAACAGTCACTCGGTAAATCGGTCGCGAGAAGATCAGTCTCGAAAGATCTGGACAGATAGATCGATCGACAAAAGTTCGAACTATGCCGGTACAAATGACACGAGTCGTCGCGGTATATCTTTTGCGTTTTTGTCAGCTCGATCGAAAATACGTAAGTCGCCGCCGTGGCCATACAAAGATATTTGGCAGCCGAACGCTTTCGCTGTTGATTTTGGCACAGACGCAACATCGCCGCGTCAACTTGGTCGAGCCGTAAAATCGACACGACACCTGTTTGCCAAATCCTACTGGCGAAATCGAAAATTCCTTCGTCTCTCTCTCATACGGTTTTGTATCTTTTGAACGCGTTCCACATTTTCGAGACGACGCGACGGCTCGGGCGCGAAACGTTGCGACGTCGATTCGCGTCGAAATCGCGAGTACTCGACGAGTAACGAGATGTAATATGATGAGGACGATGCTACAGCAAACGAATGTCTATCATTTCAGGAGCGTTATACTACTATTATTCGAAGCCAGTTCCACGATTTCACTTTACCAGCCCGTGGTACAATAAACGTACCACGTATTAAGCGAAAAAAGTGAGCGATACGATTCGAGTGGCCGAAGTGTTTCAATCCCTCGCAACTGCAATCCCACATCTGCCCATTACACGTGTTTAATAAGTCAGACAAATAATCAATCAGTCGGCAGGGGATTAGTGGTGGTATCTCACGATTCTCACTACGACGAAACGGTCCTCACGTTTGTCACGTCACATACTGAGCGTATTATACTGAGCCATTAACATGCAAGTAGACTCTGAGTAACCATTGAGTGATGAGAGAGCGTATACATATATATATATATATATATGTATATGTATGTATGTATGTATGTATATATATATATATATATACACACACACACGCATCGTGATAGACCCGTGTGTGTTACGACGGCTGTGTCATTTGAATTGAGAAAAGATTCCGGGCCTCAACCCTTGGGCTACCACGCGTGTCTTTCTCTTTCGACGCGAAATATATCAAAGTGACATTCTCGACGGGAAATTGTAGCACATGTCTCTTACCTCCTCTCACGCATCCTCCGACGACACTTGTCTCGCACACGTACTCGTGCATTAACTCGACTCTTTTTTCTTTTTTCCCGAATGTTTTCCCAGACTGTGTTATCGCTACAAGAATGTTCTTTGAAACTTGTGGTAATTATTAATGTAATTACCGTGCCCCGCCTACTCCACCGAGGAGCTCCGTTGGCAGAATGTCGAATACGCGGTATGTGTTACAACATATGCACGCACGCACGCGCGCGCGCACACACACACACACACACACACCCACACACACACACACACACATATACACGATCGTTTGCTGCCCAGTGTCGTGGCGATTATTTTGTTTGCACAGTGATTAAAAACAAGAAGCTCCATTCCGTAAATTTGATCGCTGCATGACACGTTCGCCATTTGTTTCGTTAACACTAGAAGGATACGAATTTTTGTTCGTTAAAACGGTGCTGAATTCGGGCAGATTCAATCTTGCCCAAAAGTAAGACAAACGGAAAAAAATTCTCTCTCTTTTTCTCCTTCTTCTTCTTTCTCCACATCTTACCTATACCGGCATTGCCGCGATAAACAAGTCATCAACAGCCTTCTAACACAACAAAGATGGGACGACGAAAGGCGCTTTGTGTGCTTGGCCGCTTCTACACACTGTCAACATTCAAACTTTAATTACATCGTACAATGAGAAAACGGATATTAAAAAAAAAAAAGAAAATAGATTCCTTCGAGAGTGATGAGGCAGAGAGAGAGAGAGAGAGAGAGAGAGAGAGATAATACCTTCTAGTGTTAATCGCAGCACTTTAATCACTCGTGAACTATTTATCAGCACTCGCAAGTGCATTTCACGCCGCTTGTGGAATCGACGTTTTAGCATTAAATAGCGAGAGCCTCACACCCTCACATCCTCTTTGCCGCTGTCCCTGCCGAGGACGGGAGGAGCGACAATCGCGTAGTCGAGAGCGTCGTAGCCAAAGGGTTCTGACAAACATCATCATCATCATTCTATTCATCTAATTCATGTAATCGGTAGCGTAGTCACTTCTATCCCTTTCTTTCTCTCTAATCATAAAGTTATTTCTCACTAGCGGTCTATACGTGAGCCTATATTTGCAAAACGTCCTCAATCATTCTCTTACTCGTACGTTTCTTCATGTTCAACATCTTCTAATAATACTGTGTACCGATCCGACTTTGGATTTTCTTCCAGTGAGAGACACTTGTACGATAATATATACACGCCTCGAATACCCAGGCGAAGCGTACTGGGCCTCGTTCATGCACGGTGTAATATTTCCGCCGGTTGTAGCATAGTACACACAAGCTAAGCACCGATGAAGACCTTCAATCATCAATTTGCGAGTATAATACTTACCAAGCTACAGCTTCTCACATTTAGATTCGTATCTAGTCGTCGATATTAATATAGCGAAGTAACTTAACACATTGTGTTTTGTACTGATCGAAAGGCGCGTGAACTTAATTAACTGCTGTTGTCAGTCGCACGGTCGCGAAACATTACGCCGTGTGTAACGAGGACATGCAAGAACCTACGAGTTTTTCAATGTTTGACTGTACACTGTATTTACATTCCCGCCGTCCTGTCCGGATTATCCGGAGATTCCCGCGGGAGGATGTATAGCATATACGTTCGACATACGATTCGGACAAAAATCTCTAATCGCGAACCGATGTACCGATGCGAACAATACGTACGATGTAGAAAAAAGATGTAATAACCGTGACGCACTTTCTATGCATCCTTCGTTAGGAATCTCGTAATTGGACTCTTATGGAAAAATAACGAATTAAACGTTGAGTTTATCTCGCGCCGATAAGCACGATGCGTCTTCCTTTTGTCTTCCTCTTTTTCTTTTCTTTCACTTTTACTGTCCGGATACCAGACGGATATTTTTCCATAAGAGTGCGCAATATACATCGTGCCATTTGGCTCTTTCATGTTTGATCTCAATGCTCCTCTCTCTCTCTTTTGCAGCTCACGTCTACTGATGTCTATTCGGCGCCACACGGAAAGCGTGAAACTACGATGAAAATACGATGAAAAAAGGAAAATAAAGCCCGAAAAAAGAATTGACAAAAGAAAAAAAAAAAAAGAAATAAAGAGGACACGTGCATCACGTTCCGAAAGAGTTTTGGCGTCACTTATTACAGTGCACATCGTCCACACGGAGTTTTATTTATCAACATCTCCCGTCACATATTTTATTGTACTATTCAATCGTGATTCGTCTACGAAATAAAATAAACACTGCCAAAATTTTATTACATGACACTGATTCGTCCGTCTCTTCGTCTCGTACTCGACTCTCGACAGCCTCGTAATCTTAGTTATATTAATTTTAATATTCTGGTCGACAGCTTGCGCGTTGTCGACCACAAGTTCCAACTCTGAATACAAATTACACCTCGTCTAATTATTTCGAAGCTAAATACCGGAGCCTGAGTCGGTGATTGAAGAATCGACGAGAGAGGGAGGGGGAGAGAGAGAGAGAGAGAGAGAGAGAGAGAGAGAGAGAGAGAGAGAGAGAGAGAGACTCTTCACAGTAATCTTTCAACAAGGACTTAATAATATTACTTAAACTCAAAGGTAACAATAATATCGCATCCAAACAATTGTTCTGACGATTAGCGTAACGCAATATCAATGCCATGTTGCACCATCGTCGCTCACCTTCCACTAGAGGAGCGTACAAACGAAAGAGTACAGTAGCGATAATATAAGATATTAATACAACAATATGCATGTTTATTATCTGAAAGTTTTACATCTTTAGGATGCCATTGCATGACGCATTCCATCGCGATTCAAACGATGTAACAAACCACGATGGTCGAACAAACTCCTCGTCGCAAAAGTACGCGCGTCACGCTTCTTGCATTACTTATTTTAATGAAGCATCGTCGAATCGCGACTGGCCAACCTTTTACACAAATATAATATATCTGTATATATAATATATATATTATATATATATATATAATATATATATATATATATATATATATATATATATATATATATATATATGAATCTCTCGGACAAAACGCATATCGAAGGATCACAACCGCTCCTTCGACAATTAACCTTTCCCATTTTTCTCTTTTTTCTTTTTTTTTGCCTTTTTTTCTTCTTTTCCCTTTGGAGAAGCGAGGGAACGCGCGGAGGAAGAAGGAGCTGCGGAAAGGATGCGGCCATTTCACGTCTCGGCATGTTCCACCGAACGTAACATTTTATATCGTGTCTTCCTTCCTCATATGTCGTCGGTGAAAATATATATATGAACAATAAACAATTGATCTTATCAATCATATCATATAATGAGTATCAGCCGAGTGATACCGATACCGAGTAATGTCTCGTTCATCGCGCGTAATTGATCTCAGAGGTGAGTATGAGTTTGATTTGCGATACACACGTCTCTCGAGTTTTGAATCGTGTTTTCGATCACAGCGGTTCGCATACCGCGCGATATTGCGCAATCGCTCGTATCCATCGCCGGGGGTTTGCGCTTGCGGATTGGTGCCCCCCCCCCCACCAGTTCATTTCGACAGACAGCAACAGACAGATTCTCATCGAATGTATTCGTAGATACAATTCGTAGACTCCCGCGATAGCACAACTACTGTAAATATTAAATTTCTAAAAGTTACAATTGCACGTTACTACGAGAAAGATATCCTCAGTATGAATACAACCTTGGACGTTGTTACTGCGCGACCGATCGATGCCGCTTATCTGTTGTCGAGAATATTGCATCCTCCTGTCTTTTTTCTTTTCTTGCCCTTGGAGAAATATCGTGCGTGTACGATTTTACGATGCTCCCGATCATATCGATCGATCGGATTCTCGTATACCAATATGAACGCGTACGCTTGTACGCGTGTCGCAGTTACCCGACTGGTCGTCGCGCAAACAATCGCAAGCAATGATATCACGCCGATACAGCAAAGTAAAAAATGCGATTATTGACAGTCTACGAAGAAAATCGTCGAATAGAAAGAGACCACGTAAAGGTGAAAGAGAACGATATGTCACACATAAATACCACGTGTTGTATGTATTCTGAATAAATGCACAGAGTGATTTAAATGCGATTTGTCGTCATTCAATTCGAAGTAAACAAACCTCTATCCTCTACTCCAACACTTGGATGTCGTAAGAAATGCAAAATTTGAAGTCACTGAAAACGAAACGAACGAACGGTCTGTCTGGCGGGAAACATTCACTGCGATGTTTACGCAATGATTATCGCGATGAAACAATGTCAAGTTGGGCGATGATATACGATATATATCTGACATTTGCTTTAATGCACAAGCATGAAAAGTTCGCGATTGAGATTCTTCCTTTAAACATATTTCTTTTTCCTCTTTGTATCTACAACGCGCTATATTCTCGAGTTTTCTTCTCCTTTGATATCCTCCTTCCGATATCCTTCGAACGAAAGATATAATCATCATACGCGTGGAAGCGTTATCTTAAAAATACTGATTTCTTTGCTTTTCTCTCTCTCTCTCTCTCTCTCTCTCTCTCTCTCTCTCTCTCTCTCTCTCTCTCTCTGTCTCTATGTATGCGTGTGTGTTTATTTTTCCCCGGACTCGTCGCACGAGAATAAACAACCTAATTCGCCTATGATATATCTTGAAACGTGCAGCAGTCACTACCGCGCTCGGAATACTGCACACGATGAGAATAGAATTAAACTCGTATGAGTAATGCTCTCTGAGAGGAAGGATAAATGGACAAAAATATATGTATGTGTATATATATATATGTGTATGTGTATATATATACATATATATATATACACATATATATATATATGTATATCTATGTACACGCGCAGCGTCTTTCATAAAACGATGACACGATTAAAGTAGCTGCTGAAGCAGTGCTAAAAGTAATATTAAAAATAAAAAAAAAGATATGGATATCATTAATAATGTATATATATATATATGTATATATATATATATATATACATATATATATGAATTAATATTAAAAAGATAATATTGATACATACATATATATATATATATATATAAGTAATAATAATAACAGCGAGTCTCATAATTACACTCAACATCAACAGTGGAAGCAATAAATACAAGTGAGAATGACGAAATGCTTTTAAAAGAGCGTTAACATTCACAATGAGTCACAGTTTATCGGTGGGAGAATAAATCACCGCCGAGTGAATTTGCCGTGATACACGAGAACGAGCCTTTGCCAAGATGGAAATCAAACGTTAACCGTGAGCGGTTCGAATCTTTCATTTCGTTAAGATGCAATTGAGCAAGTTGGTAAATCTTGCACATTTTAGTTTTATGTTTGAAATCAAATTAGGTTAGTAGTTCTGTATCTCGACGTCTTCGGGCTGGATCACGCATGAAAACGAAAGACGAGGTCAGATCGTGGCATCCGACGAGGCATAATCGGCGCGGCGCGGCGTAATCGGTATGCACCGATGTAAGAAGCGCTTCCGCTGCTAAAGATTACGGTGAAGAGCTTTCGCAAGCCACGTGTCAGTATGTGAATCCACTAGCGCGCATCTTTGCCCCGTTAAATCGCATTCGAATCGAAGTGCGTCGTCGTCGTCGTCGTAACCACACGTGTGCCCACACACGCGTGGAAATAACGCACGTGCTAAATATAAATCATGTCTAAATCATCGGCGAATCATTATGTGAACCTAAATCTCTTCTACATTTCACTTTTATACCGCTCTTTCGTTTCTTCTCGGTTTCGTCTCTTTCTTTCTCCTTTTCCATTTTTTTTCTCCTTCTTTCGCTCAACTGATGATCGTGGGAAATGGATGCACGTAAATGGTATCGCTAATGTGGATTAAATAAGCTTCGACAAGCATAAAGCGGATTTACCTAGCATGATAGCCTCCATTAAGGATAATCGCATTTGTTGCTGTGCAGGATCGGTAGAAGGTTGTCATTTCTTTTTCGTTGGATTCCTCTGTGGTGTAGATGGTCTACCCGTTTGGCCCGTGTTCATACCTCCGTATTGATACTTGGCTTTCTTCTCCGACGGTTTCAAGATCTGCGAAAAGACACGGACACAGGACGCTTCGTGAGTGGAAGAAGTGGGTTTGCGCGCCCGCCAACAAGCGCGAGCCGCAAGAGTGAGAACTATCTGTCGGGGAGGAGGGGGCGCGAATTTATCACCTGAAAACTGCACATTAGCGTCTCGTCGACGCTCATCATGCCGCCGGCGTTGTCGAATTCCCCGCAGTAATTAGGCGCGGAGAACAACGTGACCAGTTGACGCTTAGCGAAGAACTCGTAGCCGTCCTCGACGACCTGATGCGCTCTGCATATCAGATCCATATCGTGACGATTCAGGAATTTTGACACGACGTCCGGACCGAACGTGAAGGAGACACCTCTGTCATTTTCGCCCCAACCCTGAAAAGTCACAAAGTAAGGCGTGAAGAACTTGAAGAACACACCTGTGTCTGACACACCGTTTTCTCGGTATCTTCTCAATTATTATTCGCGATCGTATCGATGTGTAAAAAAAAAAGCAAACGTGTAAAAGCTGTGTTCGCTGTGTGTGGGGAGAAAAAACGTTCCTCTAACCTGAACGTCCTTATCGGGATCGGACCACAAAAGATCGCAGAGGAGACCGGTATCAGGTACATCAGTTGGACGCATAATTCTTCGTATCTGCTCCATTCCCTGGAAAACGAACGAACGAGAGATATAAGCGCGCGCGTTCTACTCCCCGCGTCTCTACTCCAGTCTCGCTCTTCTCTGCTCAAGCACATGCTTGTCCGCGCGGCGCGCGAATCGACGGACAGACTGGAAGAATCTTTTGTCAATCTCACCTGCAGGTCAGGACTGAGGCCGCCGTGACAGCAAAAGATCTTCTCGTCGATGATCGCGGCGATCGGCAAACAGTTGAAGCAATCTGTAAAGGTCTTCCAGAGCTTGATGTTGTATCTCCGCTTGCACTCGTCGTAAAAGCCGTATATCCTGTTTATGCTGGCGCACTCGTGATTGCCGCGCAGCAGGAAAAAGTTCTCCGGATACTTGATCTTGTACGCCAACAGCAGGCATATCGTTTCCAGGGATTGCTTGCCCCGGTCGACGTAGTCGCCCAGGAACAAGTAGTTGGCCTCGGGTGGGAAGCCGCCGTACTCAAAGAGCCGCAGCAGATCGGTGTACTGGCCGTGTATGTCGCCGCAGATCTTGAGCGGTGCCTCGAGCTCCAGCAAGATCGGCTGCTGCAGGAAAATCTCCCGAGACTTGAGACAGAGGCCACGCACCTCGGCCTCCGTCATGGTGACGGTCTTGCCCGGTCGACATCCTCTGACTGCGCCACAGAAATGCCGACGGTTAATCGCGCCAACATCGCGCGGATCGACCCTTCGTCAGCGCGGTGTGTGTGTGTGTGTGTGTGTGTGTGTGTGATTCGCGACTCTCTACTATCTACTGGACAAAGAGAAACGCGACGCGTGCAAAATCCCGTTGTACTCGTGCCCCTCCCTCCCCGCCAAAAAGCTTCCCGCTTGAAAAGATTTTTCATCAAGATCTCTGCCGTAGTAAGTCTATCTTTGTAACCGGCCCGCGACGTATCCTCTATCCCTCCGACAAGAGATCGATAATGCCATCGTCACGTTTAATCGCTGCCGCATTTTCCTCCACATGCATGCTGCACGCATCGCTTCCGGGAGCATCGACGCGCCGCCACGATACATCGATCGTGGTCTTTTTGTCAATTCACGCAACTGCTCGCGCGATCGAGTTCGCACGGGGAAAAACGTGACACCGCTGGCGTTCTTAACCGGAGGGAAGTCGAGTGTCGTCGCGCGGTCGTCGTGCGTTTTCCCCTGCTGGGTCTGCTGGTCGCGCTAACGAGGGGTCTTGGTCGCGCGCGAGTTCGGATCTTCTTCGTCGTAGGTACATCGAGCATAACTCTACTACTTTGGGACGTGGAAGATGATCAAATCTGCCGGTATTAGCTGTCTCACTAAAACAGGGGTGACACGGTATTACGGTATTACGGTATTACAGATTACGGTGAGCCATTATCTTTGCCTATTCTCGAGCATTTTGCACATACACGGGTACACACACATACACACACACACACACACACACACAGTCACGGTATTTCCGGCGGTGTCTACGGTGGTGTATATCGCATCGACTATAATAGCGTATCAAAGGCGTGAGATTATTGGTAAGCTCGTTCGGGTAAAACGGCGGGAGTACAAATTTCTCTCTCTCCTCGAGAGAAGAAGAGAAAGGGTGAGGGGGAGGGAGGAGAATTACATCTTTGACAGATTGTACTGGGACTGGGAAATCACTCAGACTCATGGCGCGTAACGCTCTGGGCGCTCTCTTGACTTTTCAGCCTCGACCGCGTCCGCGTCCGCGTCCGCGTCCGCGTCCGCGCGTGTAACCTTTGAAACGAAAATGTAAACGACAATGAAGAAGCAGTCTCGCGATTGCAAATTGCAAAAGCGGAATTAACGGACAATGACTCGCGCGATTCAGCAGACTCTGATCTTTTTTCTGTTCTTTTCTTTTCTTTTTTTCTGTCGTTCGCTTTCCCCCCTTCAGAGGGATATTCTTCGCGTTGTCACACGCGACATCGCGAAAGCGTTAATAAGCGGCGCATGAAGGCACAGAGGGCATGAGAGCGATTCCAGAACGACCGTCCCAGTCCGTCCAGATCGTCTCCTCCTCTTTATGACGCCACGGATGTGTCGTCGGACTGTTATTTATAGGCATATACAAAGGGAATATATTCATGGTGCGGCTCAACTGGGCCGATATACCGCGTGCGGTTATTGGAAAACTGCATATTAGCAAGGTCACGGCGACCATAGAGCAGAGATATGCAGAGCGACTCCATTATCCGGTGGAAGCTATTGTCACCTCGCCCGCCCGCCCACCCGCCCGCGGCGACGAGTATTCCAGGCGAAACACTGGAAATGTCACTCATCGTGTTCAAAACAGGCTCGTCGGAGTGATGAAAACAAACTTCGGAGGAGGTACAAAACCGCGCGTCCTCGCGCGATGCTCGAGCAGAGTTCGTCACGTGGTTATATATTATTACGTTGTCGCTGACAAGCTGATATAATTCGTGAAATTTATTCGTATGCGCACAAAGTCTATGTCCCGTAATTGATTAAATTACGCGTATCATTAGATTTACATCGGATCGGACCAATTGTTATTTATCGTGTGACCGAAGTTGATACGTACGTTGGATTCATCGTGAGAGTAGCCCCCCGATACTCGGACACTCTTCGCGTTTTTCGCGCAAACGAGCTGTTGAAATATTCAGCGAGAGTATTATTATATACGTTTCGACGGACCAAGTCTGCTCTCCCCATGCTTGGGATTGAGCTCGTTCGATCAAAGATTTCAAGTTGATCCGCGATAATTAAAACCGCTCGTCGCGGCATAAAATTCCTCGCTCCTCCAATGCGACGGAATGTGACGGAAAGAAAATGATAAATCCGCAATAACTCGTCCCTGAAGAGATTAAAAATAATTGGCAAAGTCTTGTTGGAACGATGTTTCTGGAGTAATGGACCTTACGGTTCGCTTCAGGGACGTGCGACGAACGTGCTCGTTACCGCGAGCACGTTTTAACGTTATGAACGCGTAGTCAGTCCTCGGCCTGGCTGATATTTCACAATTTCGGCGCCCTAATAATGATGTATCTAAAAGTCAGCGAACCAACGAGACTCACGCAATGTTCCACTTTTACACGTACGCATGCGCCCAAGATCACTCTCTAGATGGAAGACAGACTAGGCATTGAAAATAAATCGACCTTGAAGAAGTTAAAAATAATTCCTTCTCGCAACGCGCTAAACTTAACTTTTATTACGCGTTAATGGTGATCAATGCTCGAGGAAATGATCCTTTGCTACGTTGGTTCGCATGTTGCGGGAGAAGTCAACGATTAATAATCGATAGTTTCTAAACAAACAAACAAACTAACATTGTTCGCGATACATTAAATTCACCTATATTGAATTCTTATTTTAAGTGTACAAAATTAACGGCGTAATAAAGTTAAATTTAGTTAATAACGATCCGAAACGTATCGATAAAGCGTTTCTTTGCATCGAAAAATATAATTTGCAAGAGCAAAATACAGGAGAAGAGAGAAAGACAGAAAGAAAGAGAGAGAGAGAGAGAGGGGGGGGGGAGGGAGAGAGAAAGAATGAGGATTTTACATATCTGAAGAACAGCGCGGAGAGGATGTATCGAGAGGAAATAATTAAAACATACTGACCAACTGCGTAAACACATCCAATACGCTAATATACCTAATAAGCGTGCGCTAAACTAACATTTAGGCTAACATTTTCAACTAACGTAGTAACCGACAAACTACAATTTTTGCGTGGCGAAACGTTTCAATTGATAGGTCACAGTACGGGAGAGAGATGAGAAAGAAACGGTATGTAAGACCTAAGAAAGGCGAAGCGGAAAAGTGCGTCGACGGATTCGGGTGTAAATTTAGGTATCGTTCCGAAAATATCCACGTGGAGATATACTCGTATCTTAAATAACAAATACGACGTTGAAGTATGCGTATGCGTGGTCATTATTGTGCCTTTAAATCCACGCTACGCGAGGCTTGACAGAGGAGATCGACGACCGAACGACACACACACACACACACATATATATAATCATATATATGTATATATAACGTGTGTATGTGTGCGTATACATACACACACACACATATATATAGAAAGGGAGAGAGAAAGAAAAAGCATATATCACACTGACACGAAGGACTCGGCTCTACTTATGGAAAGCAGAGAGAAGCAAAAAAAAAAGAGAGAGAGAGAGAGAAAGAAAGGCAAAAAGAAAGAACTGGACGCGAGCGAGAACGACACACCGAGAAGCAATGGCCTGTATTCACACACAGCGCGTATTTAGCACCAAATATGACTGTCCGAGAGTGTCTTCTCACACACAACTTTGCATATGAAACGCGTGAAAGAAGTAATAATTTTCGGGATCTAGAGTGGATGGTGCGAGGTATTTCGTCCGCAATTTCTAAGAAGTTGAAGAGAGAAAACGTCCAACGAAAAAGGAACAGACGTTCGTAAAAGAGAAGAGAGAAGAGAACCCTCGGAGCTTGGTATGACTGTTTTGCACTTGAAACGCGACGCTAAAACACTCGTGTTCGCTGATTACGAGCGTGATTACCTGACACTAGTCTCGCAGTTTGCTGTGAACATATCAAATGCAATTTTTATGCCTGCACGCGGTTACGCCTTTAGAGCTAAACGCATCGCTAAACGGACGTGTGAATACAGGCCATGAAGCGATAATCAAATATAAAAGTTGGCGCAGCTAAGTGAACACAAAAAGGATAGCTCTACATGGGAGGGTAAGGAAGAGAGAGAGAGAGAGAGAGAGAGAAAGAGAAAGAGAGAGAGAGAAAGAGATAGAGAGAGAGAGAGAGAGTTTGCTGTTGTCTGTTGTTGCTGTGATGATATGGTGGTTGTGGTGATAGTGGTGATTGGTGGTGGTGGGGTGGTATATTATTATTGTTATGTTGTGTTGCTGCTGTTGTTGCGTACCGACAAAGTCCGACGAGAAAATATCTTTTAGCTTGGCTTTCTTCTGAACCTGGTCTTTCTGCGTGTGGTATACTTTACCGCACAAGGAAGTTCCACATTCGCGTAGCATGAGAGAGAGAACAAACAAAAAGAGAGAAATTGTTTTTTTTTTTTCTTTCTGCGTCTCAAGAGAACGAGGATGAAAGATCGCAATTGTGGTGGTCAGTGGCAGGGAGATGGTTGAGGAGGGGGGATGATGGAGGGGGGCTCTTTGAGTCGTGACAGAGATACGCTGTAGGTAAACCCAGAGAGAACGAGAGAGGTATGTTGTATGAGACAACGAGCGTGAGAGCGAGACAGCGAAATAGAGAGAGAGAGAGAGAGAGAGAGAGAGAGAGAGAGAGAGAGAAAGAAAGAGAGAACGAGTGAAACAGCGAGATTAAGAGAGATAGACAATTAGATGTAGCGGAACACGGAGCGAAAGAGACGACGAACCGTCTCTCCCCGACTCTCTTCATACAATTCGTGTGTTACAATAATGACGATGACGGCGGCGGTGACGACCGCAACGGTACGATATACATGCGAAATCGATATCTTTCTTGCGTTTTTTAATCCGATCGTTGAGGAAATCGCACAGAGCGATACGACATACACACGACACGACACGACGCGACGCGACGCAACACGACACAACGCGACGCAATCCAATGCAACGCAACGCGACGCGACACTACACGATACGACTGAGGAACGATACGCGTTCGAAGCACCGCATAGCCATAAATCTACAGAAGCGGCATTGCGGCTCTCACTTCCGTTGGTACAATCGAGAGAACCGTGCGACGGAACGCACAAACAAACGTACTCACACGATGTACACACGCAAGGTTGCGAGATACCGCGCGACGCGTTCATGAACGACGACAGAGTCGATTTGAGTTGATGCGATCGATGTGACTCATTCTCGCGGGACACAGCCTCCGCGGAATTCCCGCCGAGAAATGCACGGCATACGTATTTTTCGTATGCCGGCCATTCCGTCGCAATCACGTACCTTCCAGCAATCTCTGTATCAGGTTGTCGATATTCAAGTCGACATCCGCCATTTTTTCCTGCCACTGACTGACTGGCTCGATGTTCGCGGACTGGCTCGTACTCGTACGTAGCGCGCGCATTTGCACTACCGCAGCGACGCGGCACACCAGCGCGATCCAGTGCTTACTCTCGATTCTATCGATTGTCGCTTACTCTCAAGATAAATAGCGACAAGGTCCGCAGGGGATGCATCGTGTTTACCTCCCATATCGCAAAAAATTTCTAAAAAAATTATTTTGCGGGGTATCTTGAGTGATGTACATCGATGCATTTCTAAAATTCTACCTTGCTCCTAAAATTTTATTTCTAACAAATATCAAACGCAATTGTTATTATGCGATTGTTTTTCAAACGCAGCAACACTTTCTTTACATGTCCGGCTATATTTTACAGAGTTTCATTTAAATTTGATCGACTTTCATATGTGTGTGTGAATGTATGTGTGGCTTTAATTACCGAAAATTGCAAATTGAACAATTTTTTTCTACATGTTAATACAGCTAAAATTATTGTTATTATTATTATTATATGCTAGCTGTATGCTAATTAAAATAATGAAGCTTAATGAGAATAAATTTTTTATACTTATATATATGTGTGTGTGTGTGTGTGTGTGTGTGTGTGTGTGTGTGTGTGTGTGTGGTGTGCGCGTGCGTGCGTGTGTGTGTGTGTGTGTACATATATATTTTTTATATTAATTACTATATAAAATATATCAAAGAATTCGATAGATTCCTGTTAACGCGATAATTATATAGATTTACAATATTTCTTTTGGTTGACTTAACCATACTTTCGATGATAATCTGGTGGCGGATCTGTGTAATCCTGTTGAAGATTGAAAAGTTCAGAATTATTCTTCTGCAGATATTGCAAAAATTCATGAAAATGCGTTAGCAAGAGTTGGATACTTCTTTCATCTAAAGGTGTGTATGACAGCATACCACCAAGTCTCACTGTAAAACCATAAAATTATCATTTAATTAGGCATTATTGATAAATGCTATAAGACAGCTATCGAGAAGTGAATTTTATTTACCAAATAGCCTAAGCAAATGAAATGCACCATACAGTTGACTTGGCAGTGTTTCCGGATTGTCATTCATTATCTGTATAAATTGTGGCCGTTCCCACTTATACAAGAGTTGAAGGCCCAATGTAATGTTGAAATATTCACGAATACCTTTCGTTACTTCCAATGTACTTTCTCTAAAATGTAAACAAAGAACACCAAAAGTTGAACGTATCTTTATAAAATGTAAGTAATGTATGATAGCATAATGAGACCGATGCAGATTTATATTCGTACTTGATATCATTTGTCTTTCCTAATGATTTTGTCTCGACATAATCATCTAGGATTTTGTCAACTGTATTCTTCACAGGTAAGGCTGGCAGTTTATGATGCTTCAATATCACTTCAGACTCATCAATTAGGACAAACTTTAATTCTTCGGGCAATTTGATTTTAACCTCCACTTTAGTGAGAAACTCTTCAGTTTCACCGGATGGTTCTAATCGGCTAAAATATTACTTTCTCACAAAGAATGTTCATAATATACAGAGATGTATCGCAATAAGTGTTATGTAACAAACCTTCGCTTTTTACGTGTAGGTTCAGACGTAGAATCATGAGAGGACGAAGGTGTTGCACCGCTGCTTGAGCCCTTGCTAAAGCGACTTATATTTTTATCAGCTGTTGCTGATACAGGTGTACTCGCCCTACTATCTGTATCTTTCTCTCTAACCCCTTCGCTCCGTCTTCCCTGCGTCTTGGTTGTTGCACTTCCCTTTTTATTTTTCTGTGTAGACTGCTGATTTGAATGAGCTCTCTGAACTTCCCGTTGTCTTTGTACATTAGCCTCGTTGTACTTAAGGACTCTACTTTCAGGGACCCATTCGTCCCAGCTATTATGATAAGAGCATGTTGTTCAGTTTAAGGTTTAATTTTAATAGCCTAACAAAAGTATATAATATAATTCTATATTTTGTTACGGCGTAACTAAACTTTTGTCTTAAATAATAAGATAAAAAGGAAGATCGCGAAGAAGTAAATATTCAAGACTATATGTAGCTGCAAACACAATCCAATATTTATATGAAATTAAAGTGGAATATCTGTGAAAGATAGCTGTTACTTTTTATTCCATCCAGCATAATGGATAAAATATTTGATTTGCTTCTCCTTAGTAATAGAGGACTTCAAACATTTTGCTTCATAGATTAACGGCCCGTGAAAACACAGCACTTTTTCACCTGTGAATGTACCAATTGTATATTTAATTAATCATATCGTACGATTAAAATAGTTTACAAAATAAGATAGGAAACAGTTGTGTTCCATTGTTCCTTTTATAATTCACTTGTAACATACTTTAAGACTTTTCGAGAAATTGACAAAAACATACCTTCTTGGAATTTACATTTTGGTGGCATTGTATTTAAGGTACTGCGAAATATAAATAGCACGAACCGTTGAAATTATTTTATATTTAATTGTTTTTATTTGAAAATTATCTAGGTCGTTGATCAGACAGACAATTCTCTCATAATTATTATTGAGACACATTCGGTCCTAACTGTTGTGCGATTGTGATGTTTCAACCGTACCGATGCCATATACAAACGCTACGCTTCATAAATCCCACACCTCTCTACAGAGGTCTCCTCTTTATAGTTGCGTACAGAGAGGAACCTGAGAGCGGCCAACACCGTAGCCGTCGCTATGCCGCCTCGCGCCGTCGACTTGGTCCCACTTGGCCTCACTCACTGGCTTTCCTACCGAGTCGCGGGGTCGCGTTTAATACATAGATACATCTATGTATTAAACTGTTCACTTTTCTCCTGCAAACACTCAACAATCCATTGTATAATTTTGCACGCTGATTCGTAAAAATCTCAAGCGAAGAAATATTTTTTCATTCAGATGGATATGTCGATTCCCTTGCGAGAAGATGAGTATCTCAAATTACTGATATCATTTAAATTATTAGCGTTAATAAAATTATTTAATATTAATAATAATTAAAGTATAATAATTATTGCATATTAACATTTACAAGCCGGTGGCCTCTCTCGGCCGCTCTCAGGTTTCTCTCTGCACATAATTTTGTTTACAGTACAGCCGGGTGTAATAGGGTGCAATGAAGCGATCCGGTTATTGCATCTGATTGTACCGTCACTGTCTTGTCACACTGCGTGTAGCTCCGAATTAAATCGATCTATTATCGACTGCTTTCACCTGCACCTCGTACACTTTGTGCAGACAAATAGTTCCACTACGGAAAGAAATGAATCACCGCGATTGGTCGACTCGACTTCCCGAGTATCCCGCTTGTGGCGCTGTTGCATTCGTATTTAGTTATGGCGCCGGTTACGGGTTGTGTAGTGCGCGAGAAACCGATGCGCGTGATTTCTCGTGATTTTGACTCGCCGTAGTTGAGTCTCATGACTTAAATCGTTACCGGGAATGCCGAAAGTAAGTTTCGTGCGTGTGTTATTGCGGAATGACGTTCGTTCCGCCGCGCGAACGTGAAGTGAGAGATGAATCGTCGGAATACGTCGGAGGAAAGTTCAGCGCGCCAGAAAGTTCAGAGCTGCGTAAGGGCAGCTCGGTTTTCGCGTCGCGGAGCTTCGTTTTTGACTCGTCTCGCCGAGTCTCGGCCGTGAATTATTGTTAAACATCGAGGTATGGCACAGCTTTCGTTAAATATTCGCTGAAAATGTGCATTGTTCGTCGGGAAGGTCGAGTAAAGTTTCGAGAATTTTTTCTGTCATGGTCGACTTCTTGGAATATTTCAAACGGAACGGACGGTTTCGAACAGGATATTTTGATTGGCTAGTACTCTAGTGATACGTATTCACCTTCGCATACGCACACATTGAAAATCACGACTTTGCATTGCAACGCTTTTAGTACGTGAATTCCAAAAGTCGACCGTGTGTATTTTCCGCGATTTTGAATTACCAAAGGCGAATACCGGCGTATATTGTTTCGTCGAGAGTACCGAAAGCAAATTTCGTACATTTGTCACGGCGAAGTATCGTCAAGTAGTCGGAAGTAGGGTAGTTAACGAAACCGGATCGCCGAGAATGCCGAGTGAAATTACGCGCGTTTGTTGCTTAAAATTTGTATTCGATTTGTGATCGAGTGTTGTGACGAAAGAAATGGCCTGTTATTGTGCAAAGTTAAATTTAGTGTTTGTATTGTGAAAAATATTAATATTGCCCGAGGATATACTTTGCAAGAAGGGACATCAGGGGAACCATCGAGGAGTGAGTTTATTTTATGTACATCACGCTATAACAATTCGGAGTTGCTTGTCGCGATATCGCGTTTTTCATCTTGCGATGAAAAAATTATCCAATGAAAAAATTGATGAGGCTGATCATGGTCGTGAAACGAAACATAAAAATCTCATCTAAATATTTTGAAACAATATATTTAATATTTATTGATATTTTCATTCTTAATAGTTCATCACATTTTACCTTGATTACATTTTATCTTAATCGCATTTTATTAACTCATTCTGAATGAGCAAACAAAATATTACGTTCAACCCGAAAGCATCAGTTTTTCAACGAGTCCGCTCGCAGGTCTCTACGATTCTTAGAACTCACTGCCCGTGTAGTAAATGCCTCGTCGATTCCTGGAACTTACGCCGCCGCGCGCTTACGACGCGAACGAACTTAAATACAAGGTGTCGTAGCGAACCATATTTACTTCCCCAAATTTTTATTTACTCTCTACACTACCCGAAAAGCTATATTAATCTGGATTTTACGAAAATTAGTCATACTGCCTTAAAATTAAATAGCATCATTTCTTTCGATTAGCATAAATATTTTCATGACGTATATATTAATTGATCTATCATTTTTCTCTACATTAATTTCAACATTTCGGACTTGATAATTCTGTAACGTTGGACTGATCATCGTTATTTCCAATTTAGATTAGCTTCTTATTGCACACAATTTATTAATTTATACTTGGTAACCCATCATTTTCGCATCGATCTATCTATGCAATTTGTGAGGATCTTAGTTATTTTGGATTTAGATTAAAACACGATAATTATTGCGAATCTCGCAAAACGGTATGAGACTTTTATGTTTGTCTCAACCCAATCTACCTTCGTAACTTCGGGTTGGCAGCTAATTACACTCGGACACTTTGTATGATCTTCATGATATTAATCATACGCAATGTCAATTCTTATTTTTTTGCGCATGTTAACATGTTAATTCATGTTACAAACGCGTAACAATGTGCGAGACCGTGCTTGTCAAGTAGGCTATTATGGCTGTAGCACGGACTGCCACCACATGCAGGTTTTACCACCGAGACCTAAAAGTGGACGTAGCATCGTAGTTCCCTTCTCAAAATGGATGCAGATGGCATCCTTTCCCAGTGCGGAAAGTCAGTGTCGCCGAAAACGGCTTGTTAGCCGCTCTCAGGTTTCTCTCTGATTGCGTACTTTTATTGGAATAAATTTGTAATAAAGAATATTCAATTGAAAAATAGAAGTTAAGAAGTCTAGTAATCTGCATACCCTTTGTTTTTGTTGAGAAATAAGGGATCTAGTGGTCCATAAGACTCGTTATCTGTACTTAACGGGACTAAAATTCCTGCTGTTCTTTGTACCCCTTATTTCCTGGTACAAAATTTGGGATTTGTTCTTGACTGCTGTAGACCCTTAAAGAA